TGTCCAACCTCAGTGATTATAACATTTATGCCGACTTTCTTTAGACATATTTTCGTTGCCGAAAGGCTAATCTAGTGATCGGTGGTCTCGATTACCAACCTCACAGAGTTTCCTGTGATGCGCACTAAATTAACCAGCAACAATAAAGCTGCTATATGATGCCTTTTAAATATCATTCATAAGCTGGTTTAACTCGCGTGACCAAATATCCAGCTGGATTTCTCACAACTGTTCATATTACCTGCAAATTTCGTGCATCATGATGAGCATGCATGAGGTGAAATGCGGACCCATAGAAAAACAATCTCTGAGCTGGAACGTGGCTCATGGGTAAGTCTTCCTCTGAATGGGTGAATACATTTTGAGCAATGCATCTAAGATGTTCAGTCATCGTGTCCAATTTACGCTTGGTTAGCGTTTTAGAAAGGAGGTATAATCCAAGTCTGCTATAAGCATAACTCGTCCCAAATGGCGTCGCTTTGGTTTTGAATGTGACACACAAATTTCATGTACAAAAAAATGTAACTTAACTGCAAACATTTCATAAACCCGGTGATGTTTCATTACCACAAGTGAAGCGCAGCTGCAAAGCTGCCAATGAAGATCATGTATTTTGAATTCTAAGCTTCCAACTTCACTCTCTCACGAGAAGTAGTATCAGTTATAGTAATGCTAAGTGGGGCCCACGTTATACCTTATCCACAAAAACACAGAAAGAACACTGAGATGCAATTCCAATCTCTGAGTCTGAGCTAAATTGGCTGGATCAAGCCAAACGTGTTGAGATTTGATTGCCGGCTGATGCAAGATAATCGATGGGTCTCCAGCTGACCACTGTCAGACCAAAATCACCGTCATAGGGCACAAACTGAGTACCGTATACACATATGGATGAAATCAGACTGCTCGGTATGTAAGATAGGCACTACGTAGTCACCGACAGGCTAGCAGCTGACCACTGTCAGACCAAAATCACCGTTATAGGGCACGAACTGAGTACTGTATACACAAATGGATGAAATCAGACTGCTCTGTGTGTAAGATAGCCACTACGTAGTCACCAACAGGCTAGGATGCACTGAATCACGTAATGTGACTCCATAAACATGCCTCGATTGATTAATATTGAGTGGAAAATAAGTAATCTTGTCACGACAGATAAACGGTGGGACTCCTGTTACAACGATAGATGACGGAATACGTACTCAAAAGGTTGCTGATTACTCGTCGAAAGCCCGGTGTGGCTCTTCTTTGGTTTCATCAAGTTGACACATTCCCCTCACGTTCTACTTTAACACTCTATTTGGGATAATCAGTCTGGCCTCACTGACTCGTTTAGATGCTCTTCTCACTCCGGTTGCTTTATGTACTTATTTTTCACAAGCTCTGAAGCTCATCGAACCAGTAGGTATTGTTTTCCTTACCGGTTGTAAGCCTAGGAAGTTGTGTGATAGTTCGACACTGGATATACCGGTGACCGTCCAATCCTCAAGCGCATTCGAAAATTATCTACAGATGCAGTGTAAGAGCTGTGACTAAAGCGGCGACCACATGGATCCATTCTTAATAAACGAGAACCACCATATTGGTGAAACCTAAATTGCTGCGGAACTGAAAAATTGACACCCAAAAAAGTGCTTATTCAGTCAATAGAATCCAGTTCATACCCGAACTAAAAGGAAAAAGCATATGTTGGTACAGTCTGTTGTGGCCCACGTGTAATCTCCGGACATCAGTAACCCCACAAGATTTCCCGGGTTATTCTCAAGGACGTGGAAGAGGGTGCTTCGGGTGTTCGGGCCTGGCCGGTGGAATTTCCTTTGGCCGTTTTGTCCCCGGTTTGCAAAGAGGCAGCCCCCAGATTTGTATCATTGGACTGGTTTTACGATTAGTTATACCATGCGCCTTTTGAACCGGAATACCAATACCTTTTTTTCTTGCAAGTGAGGTATGAGCGCACTGCATATAACTGTTTCATCCTTATTGGAAATTATTAGAAGTGAGCACCTCATGAAAACCAAGACAAATATTTTGGTTGTCAGGTTCTTTTTGTCGATGTGATCCATCGAAGCGCTAAACTTCCAATCACGCAACCTATAGAAAGTTGTTGCATGCTGGTTGGCTCGTATGAACTTTTGTGGCTACTCAGATTGACAAAATTTCTTGCCACGTGGATGGATTTAGCTCCGGGCACAAGGTTAGGCTTAGGCGCCACTAGTTCTTGCAGCAGACTATTTCAATATCCAGGTGTGATGGGTACGCCAAACATTACACACATATTAGTAAAATCGACTGAAATATTTTGCATCTCTGAAGGGGGTAGTCTGAGGAGTACGACGTTACCCTGTGGTTAACATTATCATGACCATGCGTACAAATTCCAGCTGAGGACGAATCAGATGGTCCGCTACGCACAGGTCTGATGCGCCTGATTCGCGCTAGATTTCTGCAGTGAAGGCAGCAAAACTAACAATTAGACTGCAATCTCAGGGAACGTATGTTTTCCAGTCTGAGCGCATTCATAAAGGTAATATCCCTTGCTGGATTTTGCAATCACTGCTTTCACATTGCGCACCCAGCACCACGACATATTTTGCAGCGCCTAGCTCACAGAAGTTCATCTGAAAGTGTTGTATTCTATTTCGAATCTCCGGTATAAGCCAGTAAAATGCAGGGGTTTTGGAACTATTACCGATGCAGCTGAGGCAAGATGACGCTGAATCTAAATTCACGGTTAGCAATCGTTGTTCGTGAACAGAATCTTACAAACAACTGACACAAGTGGGTACTATCTCGTAACAGCTCTCCTAAAACGAGTAGATGAATAAATGGGAACTGAGAAGTGCTTTTGCGAAGTTACGACCATAGTGCTTCTTCGCTGAACGAGTAGAAGAATTCTATGTAATCTACAAATATTTCATATGGCATCCGCTCGATCTGTGTATTAGATTTATCCTGAAGTGGAGCGCCTACGCTGCTTCATCCGCTCTTACAGCCACTTTGCTGTTCAGAGAAGGCCACCATACTTCTGAGTGGTGGACCATGATGAGGGCTATCAGATTGTCAAATGCGCACAAAAGGCTGAAACGATGATGGTGAAATTCAAAATCAAACCATCAGATTAAACCCTTCCCTTGCTTGAACTCAGGGCCTCCGGTCTCAAACCTATTTGTTTGAGATGCACTCACCAGCCCGAAATAAGTAATTCCATCGTTAAGTAACACTTGAACCTTGGCGATGGGTCACTTTTGGATAACAGTAAATACCAATAAAGCTACAGTGGAAGCCCAATGTGACCGGTTGGGATATACACCAAGAGTGCGCTTCTGTCAAACTCCAAGTGCTTAATTTGTTGGGAAATGAAACGGGTATGTCCTATTTGCCACCAGCCCAAGTAATTCCCCTGTGCACTGAGCGCCTGTTTACAGAGTAGTTTAAAGCAACAGTAAGTAGAACAGTGGTAGTGTTGAGGCAGTCTCTGATCACACCCGAACGTTTATTAGCCAAAAGTTACAATTTTCAGCATAAGGCATCTTCAAACATTTAATGCTTATGTGCAGCACAGCAACTGGTGCACGAAAACGATAGATAGTAATGAGCTAGACTAGTTAGCCAAACCACCGACTTGAATTGGCAAGGCCCGGTTGTATCGATTATTCAGCTTAAAGGTGTCAACATAAGGAGGGGGAATACAGCCGATTATGCAAGGTGGCTGAATTAAATATTCGCATGCATTAAGTGAGATGTTGTGAATTGCTAATCGTGTATGGGTGTTTATTCTACACTCGGAGTGGAGGGAATGAATATCCATCATAAGGGATTGGAAGATATGTAAATTTGAAATGCCAGCCCCATGCGCATTAAACACATAATGTTGTGCAGACATTTGCCAGTGCACTCCAAATGGATTCTCACGCAACAACCAGCGGTTTAATGCTCCCGAAGTTCCCAGTGAATTTTTGAGTCAGCACTGCTTTGGGTTATATCAAGATCGCATCAATGCACTAAGCTGCTTCCCCGGGATCTTCTTTTTTCTTGGTCGAAAGCTTATGTTTCGGAAACAATTCTGTCCCGATAAATAAAGTTTGTTATGTGGCCAACAGAAATTACATCAGTTGGTCTTGATATGAAGTAGATGGCTACGTTTGTGACACCCTTATTTTGTCCACCGAGCAATAATCTGATTTTTGGTTAAACAACCTACTTTTTGTTTCTGAAGTGTTGTGTTCAGAGTTACGAGCTGCTTGCCAAACAATCAGCAAACGCGGAGTGTGCGTTTTCCCTCTAAAGTCGGACCGCAGTCATGTTACGCATAGTTCGGTTCGGACTAGGTTGGTCACACATCTGGTGTGATGCATTTCATCGGGTCGAGCTCCAACTTACTCGTTTCATTAAAATTTATGGACCAGCATCCTCAGCACTAAATGGATAATGGCATGCTCAATGTGTGTACGAGCTTCGATCGCTATTTTTTGTACTATCTGTGTTCTGGATGCAAACTTATTACCGCTGCCGAAGGCCACTTTCAAGCCCAGCCTGTTATAGTTGTGTGACTACCTGTTCCTTCCTTAATGAAAGGCACAATTCCAAGTGAAGCACACTCTTTGGGAATAGTTTTCTCGATAATTTGGTGTACGGCTTTAGGAAGACCATAAAAACAATAGCCAGTGAGAAGCACTTTGCAAATGGAGGGGATAAGAAATTTGCATCGAGATAACTGACTCAGGTAAACAGGATAATCGATTATGCTGGACCGGATTGTTGTAAAGTCAGCCATATTCCCCATATTCACAAAATCCAAAGTGGAAGGCCAAATGCGCCATTTGAGTGTCTAGTGAATTTGTGATGGGGCAGTTTAGGCGGTCAGCCTCAAATCCACAGCAGATGCACGCCATGAATATACATCTATGCAAATGCTATTGCCGTCATTTGTAGGACAGTCCACCGTTCTTTCTTGTTCATTGCCCATCGAATGACATCAGAAAAATTGACGCATTCACTTTTTTCACCAACTCATTTTTGATTAACCCAACTGTGCGCTTCACAGCTTCACACATTTGTACTTAACATATCAACAAGTGGGTCCCAGTGGAGCACGCATGAACCCGCTGAGAGGTTGTTTATTAGCAAAACGAATCAAGCGGTTAAATGCCAGTAGACAGAACAGTAAGTGATTCAGCAGCTGAATATTTACGCATACTCGCGTACTCCTAAAGGAGCAACAAAGCAGCAACCAGCTCGTAAATTTCGGTAGTGAACTACATTTTTATCAGGTGGGGTAGTGGAGGATGGTCGGCAGATAGCAAAGTTAATCTGCAGAGTACACCATTGGGCGCGTTGTATCCTGTCCTCTGTTGACCTCATTTGAACACATAACAGTTAATAGTTAAAAATATAAGCACCCGGTTTCTTCTTTCACGTAGTGTTTCAGCGTAAGACGACGTTTGGGGCGTAAAACTCATTGATTATATTGACTTTGATTACCAAGCAATATCATTGGCGTAGATCGACACAGCTGGGTTGTATATTTTTTCCGGCCTAATGGCGTCAGCGCCCCATTCTGAAAAATGACCAGTTGTGCATGAGATTGGAACAGTATATTAGCGTGCATTGACTAGATACCCGCAAGTCCCGGAGCTCTCCACTGGATTGCTGATCGCGCCTGGGCACCTATGCCTTTACTCATTGACGGGGATATACATTTACGACATAGCGAAATGGAAATAAACGTGGGAGTAACACAAGCTCCATACACATATGACTGCATGTAGGTGGTTGCTTATATAGACATTTCGAACGATTTTTCAGTGTTACGGACTATTACCTCTTCTTTGTTGGCAATCCCTGGTCGGATTAGCGGATAGATTTTTCACTTGATCGAATTTCAAGATCCTGCCGAGAAAAATCAGTAATCAAATAAACATCTCTCCTTGTTGAAATTGGTACCGTAGGTGAAGGTAACATTGTGTTACCAGGACGAGTCATGGAACGGTTTCGTGTGTTTAGCCCATCTGAACGAAAAGCACGTTTTAGCTGGTTTTGAACAACCTAACGGAGTAAGGATGGCGCTATGATCAGATATTTGTGTCGCCGTGCCTCAGTACAGGAAAAGAAATGAACACCTTAGACAGTCTGTGGACTTGGTAACGATGCTAGCCGCCGTTCAGTTGTTATGAAATATTCTGGGGGCTACGCAGACGGCGGTGAAGAATTCGAGTGACATTATGTCCAGTCGGGAAGAATGCAGTGAGGTGAGCGTAGGGCGGTCTTGCACATTTACGTCTCCTAGAGAGGAAAATGTTGGTAGCTCGGGTGGCGTTGACTTGTTCGCTTAGCTGGGCAATTTGATTGCAACCGTTTCATCATCAGTGCGTTATTGGGGGGCACAGTGGTTGCGCGTTGAGAAGTGCTACGTGTGTAATGATATACATGCTGTCAGCCGGAGCTAAATTTTGATCGCGGTTAACTGTTCGGTCTGGCGGTTCCATTCGTCGCTCCGTTATTCTGTCGTAATTTGCCTATGCCCACGTGACCTTTGAGCTTGGCATCCCCTTGAGTCATACTCTGGTCGATGCTGGGGTGACATTTGTTCTTTCGCCTTCTGAGTCCCAGCTGGTGACCCTAATTGATTTGATTCCAAGGAGTTCCCTGTTTCTTTTTTGGTGGATGCGATATTCGGTTCTCCTTGAGTATTCCGGTTGATCTTTTGGTCCTTTGCACATAGATGTGCGTTAATTGGGTCCGTTCGATGCACCGTTTGATCGAATCTCCAATTCACTATCATTCTTCCAGAAATTCCCTTTCCGTGTCTCCTTTATCCGTGTGCCAAATTTTTGCGTTTTACAGATTTAATTTGTAGCCTTCTTGGTCTTCGTGTATGGGTATCGAGGATAGGAAGTAGTCGCCTGATGGCCGCATTGTGTTTTTTATTCGTGTGTATAACTTCCTACCAGTTTGTCCGACGTAGAACTTTTTGCAGTCCTCGCAGTCGATTTGGTATATAACATTGTTACTCTTGGTTTTGCTCGGTTGTCCTTTGGTTTCAAGATTAGTTTCCTTAAAGCGAAATTCGGTTTGTGGGCCAAGATCCCTTTTTCAGTCAATAATCTGGTTGCTAGTTCTGATGTATTCTTGATGTAATGTAGAAGTACCTGTCCGGCCACTTGTTTTTGCTGTTACTGTTGTTGAGATATCTTCTTTTTCACGCTTCCCTTGACAAAATTCCTTGGATATCCATTGTTCTGGAATATTCTGAATACCTGGTTTTCTTCCTTCTTGCGCAATTTTGTGGTGCAGCAATGTCTCCACCCTCCTGAACAGGATGTGGACGTCACTCTTCTTGTTGTCCACTGGATGATTGCTGTTGTAGTGCAGTATTTGATCCGTATGTCTGCTTCCAGAGTTCTGTTCATCCTTCTCTTCACTAAAACGTTCAAGAATGATAGTTGGTTGTTTCTCTCTCATTCTTGTTTGCAAATCACTAGCACGTTTCTATTTCGTGTAACCGCCGGTAAGATTGTCTCTCGGATCTGTTGTTGAACCTTCTCGAACATTTTGTTCACTTTCAGGGCGTGTCCTAAGCTGGCTAAACAATCTTTGTAAGATTCGTCTTCGAACTAGAAGTTAAGTCCCTTCATTAGAAGTTCTTGTTAGGTTCTGCTGAATTGGCGGCCAGATAGGATTTCAATCCAAGTGTCCCAATTGTGTTTTTTGTCCCTTGTGAGCTTGCGCAATTTCGTTTCCATGGCTGTTCTGTCTGCTCGGCGTCCAATTGCTATTTCAAGTTCTGCTAATTGGTGTGGACCGGTTTTGGCCAGACAACTTGTCTTGTTCTCGAGGATAACCTTTTCATATTTTCCGAGATGACTGTGTGCGTCTTTGACATTCGTCTGCCATAGTGTCTTGCTAGGGCCCACGCTAGTGGATGGTCTACTGCCGGTGTGAAATTAGTGCAGGGTAGCAGCACTTTCCTACGCTTTTTCCTACGTACTTTCCTACATTCGTGGTTGAATTATAATCGGTCGCGTGTATAGGCTTGTCCGCAGGCGTGTTTATCCCAGCAACGAGCTTCACTGAGCGCCGTACGATCAAACTGGTCTCCTGGAGAGTAAAATGCTGAATCCTTTGTTTGCTTATTCACTATGATTACAGGGAACCGAATTCTACGGACTCTTATCACAAATACCGGGTGAAAAACTCATCGAGTCACGTTTGACCTTACTGAATTCGTCCCACTTGACGTACAAGATTATATCATACCAAGTGGACGATGATTTGCTCGCCTATATAGTGTTTAATCATTACTGCTATATACTCAGTGATTTCATTCTGGATTAGAAGTTCTTACGGCACTGTAAGGACGCGTCCAAGTCCGACTCACCGTTTTGGATCAATTGGTCCTAAAAACCCGCACAAATCCAAACGAAGATCATTGTTTGGCAAGAGCTGTATTGGTAGCTTCGTTGATAATTTTCGGCACTCCGTGAAAGTTACAAGCAGCTGAGGCTTCCTCACGACTGCTGAGCTAGCCAGTTTTTCCATTGTAAAACACTCTGTCAGCCACACGTGAGAATCGTCTGTGCGTTGTTAAGGTGCGTGAATCTAGCCAGCTTCCATACGAACTTTTTATTCTTTGAAGGTTTCATAAACCCCGACCGTTCCTCATGAAATTATGCAAGAATCTCCTTTAAGAAAGGATGAATAAGTGGTTTCTGAAGGGAGTGCCCCAAAATTAAATCGAACTGCAATAAAATAAAATCAATTGGAAATCGAGAAAGCCATAAATCTTATCAATAAGCATGAGAACGATGCACTAGCTTGTTGATAGATCTAGTTATAAGGGTCAGGACTTAGAATCTTTCAATCCTGTACCGAATCAAACAAGGGAAGCTTTTCAATCACGTGGAAAATAATTGCAAACGATTGGGTTGTCATCGTTTTCGAAAAAGTTTGGTGAGAATCGGTAGATTTATTGCTGGGCAACGTTTCGCTTTTGACACAAAAGCTTCGTCAGGCCAAGTGACTAGGTTCCGAGGTTGATCGAGATTTAAGGCGGAAGGAGAACCAACCAGCTAGGTCAAACTAAATCTCTGTTGGGTGTCGGCCGAGGGATTTTGGTGTGTTAGAGTGGTTGAACAAGTGTTGGGTCGGTGGGGAAACCTACATGTGCTTGGGTCCTGCCTAGGGTCTAGTTCTTCTGGTTCGGTTCATTTGATGGTTCCTCTTAAACTTCGTTTGAACCTTCTGTTAGTCTGTGTGGGTGAGCTAGTTCTAATAAAGTTGTGTAGGAGGGATGCTGTGACCTTTGGTTGGTTGGGGTTTAGACCCCTACCCCCCGGTTTTTTCTAATGATCCTAAGTGGATCGACAACCACACCGTCACGTGTCAACTCGGCTTATCTAAGACCGCTTTCCATACGCTCGCTAGCTCCACACCCTCGATCCTATT